ACATATACATATACATATACATATACACATATACATATACACATATACATATACATATACATATACACATACATATACATATACATATATATATATATATATATATATAAATGCTGTGAACTTGAGCAGTGATTAAATAAGTAAAATTATTAAAGGATTTATTATATTTCTATTTTGGTCAAGGGGTTTTAATGCAAGAAAGGACCAAGTTATGTCGAAGGGGCTAACATGCAATAGTTTTTCTATTTAATTAATAATCGAGCCAACAAATAGTTGTTCGTGCTCGACTCATTTATAAATCGATCTTAAAAAAAAAATGTTCATGCTAGCAAACGAGTTGAACACGAACTACTTAATGAACCGAACAAGAACTATTAGAGAACAGCAAGCTTTTCTGACATACATAAAAGAGAACATTGTTGTTTGAGCATCGGGAAGCGTGCAAGTTGTGGTGCTCATGTTGTTCAGAGTTTTTATTTTTATTTTATTTTTTATAGTTTTGAGTTTTATATTTATTTGTTTTATTTTTATTATTTATTTTCATTTTTTTTATAGTTTACAGTTTTATCTTTATTATTTATTATTTTTATAGTTTAGAGTTTTATATTTATTATTTTATTTTTATTTTCCAATTTAGTGTTTTATATTAATCATTTGTTATTTTAATTTTTTTTTAATTTAGTGTTATTCTATCCAAAATTTAAATTGATAGCCTTTTTTATCATAATTTTTTATGCATTTTGATTTGAAGAAATTTTTATTCTTATGCTCTATTTATAATAGATTGAATAATAAAGAATAACTCACTAATTAAAATAATTAATTTTAAAAATGTCACACTAGTTGCTACATCAATAGTTAATTATGTAATATTAGCTCTCCTCTTAGCACATTATTGCTTTAGTTAAAATATTATAAACCTAATTAAACTAACAAGATAATTTAGATAAGTAATTTTATAATATAGTTATCTTTTTTGCATGCCAAGGAATTGTTGGGCTTCCCCCCTAACCCTTATTATTATTATTTTTATTTAAAAAAAAAGGACTCATTTTTTTTTATATAATTCTTGAAAGGGCCTTCCTTCATCTTGAAAAGCATGTAGTATTTTAACAATTTGAAGGACCAAAAAGTTGGCATCCATTGATCCCACTTAAACTCATTTTGCTTTATGATAAAGATGTCTCCATTTCCTCTATATTTGCATTTGTGTAGGCCCCACTTATGCATGCTTCTCTGGTGGGTCTCCTTTTCCACCAACCAATATGGAACAAAAGTAATCCAAGCATTAAAATCATTAGACTTTAAGAGAAATATAACAATAAGCAAAAAAATAGATGTGTGTGTGTGTGTCTAACTATATATATGTACATAGAGTGAGAGGTGAGGTGAGATGTGTGTAGGGAGGGAAGTTAACGATCTAATTTCGAGTTAAGTTGTGGTATGAGCCGGCTCATTGAGTTATTTAGATCAGTTTAAGCTCGAAATCGGCTCGATATGGCTCAAAATTGAAACTAAATAACTCAAATTGAGTTACTTGGATCCGCTCCACCTCAAAATCAGCTCCAAATTGGCCCTTGTCTCATTATATTCAATTTTACTTAGCATTATATATATAATTTTTATAAATAAAAAATACTATGAGCTAATCTCGAGTCATTCCAAGGTGATTCATGTATCACTCAAAATTGGCTTAAAAAAATTTAATCCAAAATTTTTGCCCATTTATTTTAATCGAATCTAAATCTGTCTCAAAATTCGAATCAATTTTCGAGCGATTAACAATCCTCGAGTTAAACTGAGCTGAATTCACATTTCTCTCTCTCTCTCTGATCTGAATTCACATCTCTCTCTCTCTCTCTCTCAATTTAAACATTAAAGAAGCTTTTAATTAAATGAGCTAAACTGTTATTAAAATATTCAACCTTGACTAAAACTGTAATTAATATATAACTCTATCTAAACTCTACTTTTAAGACCTTTTTTAAAGCACCTCCCCTTATTCTAATCTCCTCTCTCTTTCCAATGAACTTTTAATAGCTTGTCTCCTTTGAAAATAAATAATTGTACTCACCATTTTGAATTTATGTACCACACAAAAGTCTTAAGTTTTAATGTCCATCTACCCTTGCCCATACTTAGGCATACCTTAATTAATTTGCTTTTAATGATCACATGGATGGTTTTTGTAATAACAAATATTTAAATTTAATTTTAATTTTCATTGTAGTTATTAGTTAATTTTTCTTTGAAATATTAACTAATTTTATTAAAATTTAGTATCCAATGAATTCCTTAAGACATTAAAATAAAGATATTATAGAAATTCAATTTATAATGCATGAAATTTTAATAGAATATGCATGATTATCTTAAGTAAATGAGTCTTTTA